GCAAAGCTAATAAAATTACATGAGCTTCATATTTTATGTCCATTCGAGTTATTGGTTAATTTTTAAAAGTTAAGTTATTCATCTGTATTGTGGGCCATTGTTCGTTAAAAAAAATGCGTCAAAAATATGTCTCCCAGAAATCCGATCAATCCTGTGGCGCTGTGCAAATAATGGTCTAAATCAAAGGAATAAAGTGCATGTCCCACATGACCCACAATGTTGTTAACATGGTCGCTGCCAGAACAAAGAATTTACCGGATGTTAAATTATGCCACACTTTATCAACGATTCAAACAAAAAGTTTACTTATGTTAATCCATGGCTTGATCCAAGTGACCGGTTACTTAAAACCATTAGCTTTGAGAGTTTATCTCGTGCACTGTCCCCAGCTTATCCCAAACAAAGCAGTGGATAAATAAACAACATAAAATGTATCCAGCATTGCGAGAAATGTGCGTCTCGATGATATAATTTTCAACCTTGCCAGAAAAATGTCTTGGTGATGTGATGATGATAATGATGACAGTTGTCTAAGGGGAAAATTTTTTAATCCCCCCGTACCTCAGAGCACGATATTATGAATTCTACCGCACACACGGTCTTTTCCCAGAGTGGGGCCACGGTAGGTTAATGATGAACTATTAGCAATCTTGTGTGAGGAATTAAGAAGTGTTATCATGTAACACTTAAGTATAAGCATCCAGAACCCTTATTTATAACTTGGTAAACAAAGGACGAGTCCTGATTAAGTGAATCTCATGAAATCTCCTAGCAAGTACTTTACATAAACAATCTTAGGACCGTTAAATGGTGTTAGAGCTAGTTAACGATTAAAATTCTAACATGAACTGTGGATTTACAAACAATACAACAAATTTACACCACGTGTTAACGTCGGTCGAAAATTCGCATATTTCCTATTTGAAAGACCGCAAGAATTATTTACGCGTGTTGGGGTACGATTTATTATCGTTAAACAAAAGCTCTCCCTTTTTTCTAACTACCAAACAACTAAACTTAACCTAGCTAACTCACGGCCTGTTTCACTCACCAAAATAAAAACAACGGTGACCCGCCACCTAGCCTTCTACCAAACAAAGGCAAGTTCGCGCTACCAACACTCTCACTACCGACCCTATAACTAGAATTCCCAACTATAAACTACCAAAAAAAGAACTAGAGTGCACGTGGTTGCCTATGTTTAAAGACTTTCTTGATTGAATTTTTTTCAAATTCAAATTATTCAAATGCTATTTCGTGTGGCCCAGCGCGAAATTTTTGTTCAAATTTGGTCACTACAGGTTATTTTATGAAGTTTAATAACATTTATTTCGGCAAAATTTTCTGATGACGTGATTAATATTTTGGCAGGGCATAAACGGAAAAAACTGGTTAACAATTTACCGTGCTTCCGATAACCTTAAAATGACTGCAAGATTTCAGAGCATCCGGCTTTGCAGTCTCATAATGTTAAAGTGCAAAATCTAACTCGGTTTTGATTATTTTTTTCAAAAATTTTGATGTATGCCGGGGTATGTTATTTTATAAAATTTAAATTACATTTACTATTGTAAATTTTGGAGATGACATCTTCAATTTTGGTTACGGTTTTACCGTTTACACAAAATTCATAACATAAATATAAGATTAACAACAATCGGTGCAGCAGTTTCGTGGATTACCTGTCTAATAAAAATGTGGACAGATAGGAGACAGACAGACGGAAGCAAAAGATATCCATTTTTCGTACTCAAGGGGCCATTTTAAAATATTCATAGGTATACCATTTTGAGTTTTTTCAAAAAATCTGGAAGCCAAGGGTAAAAGCTGAACACGGGTGAATGAATTACACATGCAGGAGCATATTATTGTGCAAAATTTAAAGAAAATTTATTCGGCAGAAATGTAACGTGACGTCATTATTTCTTGGGGAGGCTATAAACGAATAAATTTTGATTAACTTTTAAAAGGTTATGGGAACCGTGATAAAGCGTTTCAGAGCATTCAGTTCTGCAGTTTCAAAGGTACAATTTACAATTTTGAATTTTTTCCCAATAACAAGGATTTCTAGAGTAAAAGTTAACACGGATTCATAACCCACATGTACAGAAGTATCTTATTTTATAAAATCTAAGTAATGTTTACTAATGTAAATTTTGGAGATGACGTGATCCTATTGTTGGCGTGACTAGCCCAATTTTAAGTAACGTTTTATCATCTTATCATCTACACGATAGCCCTAATATACATTTAAATTCTGACAAAAATCACTCCGATAGTTTTAGAGATAATCTGTATAATAAAAATCGACACAGACGGCAGACAGACAGACATAAACGGAGGACCTATTTTTCGTACTCTTACGGTCATCGAACGTCGAGAAAACATGAAAGTAGACTTTTTCCGATAATCCCTCTTACAATAATTTCTTACAATGAAAAATGAAACGAATTTTTTAGGCATTAAAAATATGCACAAGTTTTTCCTTGCCTATATATTTAATTTGAATTTTAATTAAAAAAGCAACTTGAAATAGTTGCGATTAAATCGTTATAGACGAACTAAAAGCTTGGGGAGATTTTGAGAATGTTGTATTATTCATCAACGTAGTGGAGAAAATTTAAAACTTTAGTCTACAGTATGTCCCTGGATTGAGTTCACAAGAGGAAAAAAATTGTATTTTCTATTTTGTAATAAAATGACATAGGAATAACGTTTTTTGCTTAATTCAAAACGAATAAATCTGAAATTAAAACTTCAATATTCCTGGTCGGTACTATTTTTTTTTCGATTTTAAGGACACAGCCTGATAATATTAAAATTTTAATTGCAGATTTATTCGTTTTGAATTAAGGAAAAAATGTCATTCCTATGTCATTTTTTGTAAAATAGAAAATACAGTTTTTTTTCCTCTTGTGAACTTAGTCCGGGGACATACTGTATATTTTCTGGATCTTTATCTGGATCCATTTTTTTTTTATTTAATTTTTTAAAGCAGTGAAAAAAGTCTAGCCCAGCTTGTTCTAAACTAAAAACATTCGAAAACAAAATTATCACCTTTCGAAATTTTCTCTTTAAAGCATTGTGCTTTTAATTTGTTAAAACCGTGTTTACAGACCTGTATTTAGCCTCTAGTAAAATTCAGATTACAACATACATCAAAGTTCGTTATTTGTTTTGTGAAAAAGTACGAAAACACTCATTGAAAACTACTCTATCATCAATTTTTTCCAAATACAGGCGAATGGATAAGTTCTTGCCACCGACGCGACGAAAGTTTACCCATGTTTCCCCGACTATAAATAAAACCTACTTTTTTAGTTCTTATACACTTTCAGCGTCTCCCAACTGGATAGAGTCGGATTTATTTGCTGCGATATCCGATTTTAATACCATTAACGCCTCTAGAACCGCAGCTAATACGTTTCGACTGCAGAGATTAAAAAACGGCGCAACCACCACACGAAATTAGAATTATAAGGGTGATGGAATTAAACGCACAGGGAAAAGCGCGAAGCAGAACACGGAACAAAAATTTACACTAATGGGCTAAATGTGGGCTTTTTGGCAAATAAATTACACTTTTCAAAAAGAGACGTAAATTAAAGATTCGCAACTGGTTTATTATTCCACATGAGAAATCTGCGGCACGTCGAGATGTCAAGGAGTGAGTTTCGCTGAATTAGGTAGTTAAACTCAAATTCATTGTGTGTATTATCAAATCTTCCATTTCAAACTCGAGTTATCGTCGACTGGAGGATGAACGGGAAAGATATCGTTATCCTCGGCAAAAATATGCATGACACGTGTTACTGCTGATTTTTTAGATGTTCTCAACTTTGTCTGCGAATTCTGAGCGTACAAAAGTTTTGATTGCTGTCACTTATCCCAATGCTAAAAGATATATTGAAAATAGCATCAAACGTCAAGAATTTTACGGCTCATTTCCTTTCGGAAATATTGACTTTCCATAAGAATTAGGATGTTACGCTAACGATTTAAATTAGAGCAACAGAGCGAAACGGTTTTGTGTAGATTAATTATCAAAGTCTGAATTAATAAAACTTCAATTTATGAAGAGAAGTTTGTTTTGGATAAAAACGGCCTGCTATAGAGGGGGTTTTAAAAATTCACTCATTTAATTTTTTCCTGTATGGAGAATACAAACATGTTTAACATAATCTATCAATTCTGTTTTCAAGTTTCTCTTCGATTGACATTTTATCAATAAGACCCTCTGTAAAACTACCAGTTAGTATTGATCCGTTCTGATCTGTTTACATAAATATCACACGCAGTGGTCGCTCAATAACTTGAACAGCTATAAAATTATAAAACTGACTACGGAAAATTTGGTTATCATCTATTCTTTGTGCTCTCTCGAGTGCAATAAATTTGTTTAGAAGGACAAGCTTTATAGGCAAACCAATTTATGGATGCATCAAACCCCAAAGCAGAGTCGGACTTACACAGGAAGAAAGACACATTTATTGTGGCATTTGCATTGAACGACGACGATTAAGTGCTGTATATAACCGAATTTTAGTTGTCATTTGCCATTCCGTTTGGTCGTTTTACCTCGGATGTGTGCTCTTTAAGACGATCCTGGATCGGTAAGTGATACGCTGCACGTGCTTGTTATTTAATGAGTTTATGTTGGAATTTCGCAAAGTTGTGGACACAAAGCGAACGTTAAAACGGGGTAGTTTTATAATTTTATGGCTAGTCGAGTGGTACGCGGAGACTGTTTAATGCCACCCTTGGAACTAATGAGTTTAAGTTTATAAAAAATATGTAATGTGGTACTCGGAATTAATGAGCTTGGGGAGCATAAAACAGAATAGTTTGAATATTTAGTTTTAGTTAGTTATACAGGGTCATTATAAAATATTGTAGTCAACTCACCTATGAAAAACAAATGAAATTTTTCTCGTGCCGCTAATCACCAAAATGATTTGAACTGTTTTGAAATGTCACGAACCTCCAAACAAATCTGTCAGATGTGTCAAAAATTGAAATGCCCGGTTCGCGGTTTAATTTCATTTTAAATAAAGACGCCAGGCCAGAGCATTAAGGGTTGCAGTGTTATCGGGCATTTGTGAACGCCACTGCAAATACTGCAATACATTTCAGTTTCAAAAATTGTAAATTGTCAGAAAAACGTTTAAGGGCTTTGTCATGAATTACACCTTGGAAAGTCGATTGGAGTTGAACAGAATAAATCATCTGGTCTGTTTTGCAAAGAAGCAATAATTTTTCAAATAATGAAATCCAAAAAGTGAGGTTAAGTTTGTCGAAACCAATGAACACGGTAATTATTTAAAAAATTACATTTTTATAGGTACCCTGAAGGTAAAAATTGTGAAAAATCAAGTAATGGACAATGGCAGAGCAAGTCTTATCACAGTTAACGAACACTATGAGTACCTAATGAGTTTTTGCAGTAAATAATTTTGCCAAAGTTGTGATCCCGCGAAAGTTCTGTTTGTAAATTGTAAGGAATCGTCAAAATATTGGTGCAGACATGGTTTGTGACCGGTGCTTTTCTCTTGAAAAAACACAACTGAAATCCTTGATCTTCATCCCTACAATAGGTGAAAACTGCTATGTCCAAACATTACCTTCAGCTTTGCAGTTTCTAGATATCTGAAACATGCCAGATCTGCATAACAGGAATGTCAAAGAGGTTCTACCCAAAACACGCCCACATGGCCATCCTAATATCAAGATTTTTCAAAATTTCTATAAGAAAAAAGATGAAAAAACCAATAAAATTTCAGGAGCATAGTGTTAAGAGTTCTGTAGCTGATTATGAGATCTCTTGAAACAACAGAATGTTTAATAAAGATTTTTAACTTTCCTAATAGTAAAATTACAATTATTACTAAACAGTAAGTTGAAGTAAGTTTTAAATTAAGAGAATGCAACTAACACCGAAAGAAAAATGAAAGTTACTGAAAATAAAAAACTTTATTGCAGTACCTACACACACTTTCTACATCTAATTTTGTTTATTGATCACATTCATTTACTTGAAAAAGTATCAGGCCTATGAATCGTCGTCTGCTAACCACACACCAACCTTCATTGCGTGTGATGGTGTTTCTTCAAAAGCGTGAGTATTTTCTATACACCAAATTCTGAAGTTCTGTCAGTTGACATAATAGCCTAACAGATGAAACCAGGCTTCATCAGAAAAGAACGACAAATCGAGAATCCCGTTATCGTCCATATCAGCTTGAAACCAACTACACTACCCAACGCGGCAAGGAAAATCAGCTGGTTGCAGCTCCTGAACCAACAAAATCTTGTATGGATGCATATGTAACTTCTCTTTTACGATTTTCTGACATGGGCTGTATGGTACTCCGGACAGTAAAGATTTTTGACAAAGCTTTATTCGGACTTTGTTCCATTCTCATCCTTAAATCTTCAACAACGTCTTCACTAACTTGAGGTCTCTCCGTCGGTTTTCACTTAGAAATGCTACCAGTGTCGTTAAATCTGGCCATAATTCGCCATATAGCGTCTTCAAAGATTCTTCATCAATGACAACAGAACATTTCACTAGATACTCGTTTTTAGACGCCTCCACAGAGTACACTCCATCCCCATCCTCATTTAACACCCCATTACGGTAATAGGCATGATGATTGCGCCAAAGAACTAAAAAAATCATTTGTAACACTGACCATAGTTATTCCTCTCTGTTCATTACCTGAGATTAATCCACAATGATCTGTAGTTTTGATAAAAACTGTTTTTTGAGACACTTATTAAAGTTCTAACAAAGGGGAAGTCAGCAAAAATGAAAACAAGACAAGTCAATTAACGCACAAAGTGAGGGAAAACGTACCAGTACAAACGAAAAAATTATTGACATCTGACAGAATTTGATGAAGCGTTGAAACAGTGCAGCCGCTAATGTCAACTAATGTGGCGCTAAAAATAAAAATTCCAATATTAGTGTAATCCTTTCCACAAAACTGAAAAAGGCGGCACAAAATGTCACCAAAATCATGGCTTTCTTCGACTACAATATTTTATAATGACCCTGTAGTTTATAGAGTACGAATTCAGCCCAGCTTACGATGAGAGAAACAAAACGAGAAGCTGCAATATATCTGGCTTAGAAAGCTCTTTTCGAAAGCGTTTTCCACTTGGAATTGTCTCAGTACATCGACAAAAGAGAAAAAGGACAAATTTAGGATTTTCTTCTCTAGAGAAAGTCCCGAAGGCATTACAGGATAAACAAATGCGATTGTAAATTTTTATTTTTGGAAAATTTGGAGTCTACAATAAAAACTAAAGACAGATTCATAAACCGCAGATATAGGAGAATGTTATTTTATAAAATTTAAATAACAAACAAAAATAAAGACTGGGTAACCATGAATATTTTGATGAACTGGATGTCATATCAAATTTCTTCGTCCCATAAGTAACCCACTTTTTCGAAAGAGGTGTTAATTTTTATAGGGAGTATGAACACACATTTGATGTTGACAGCTTCAGAATAAAATTCAACTTCAAATAACCATGATCATAGTTAATGGTTCAACTGTAATAATTACATATTACATTTAAAGAGGCCTATTAAACAAATTATTGTTTTTTTTCTGAAATAATGTTTTTTCTATTTCTAGTTTTTAAATAGCCACATTTGCACTTTTAGTAGTTTCAACATCATATAAACAAAATACAGGATGTTTACCCTATTTTCTCGAAAATTTGAGAATACAATAATCTTTTCTAACATGTTGATTACATCGTCACAAAATTTTATTGTGGAAAATTTACTTGAAACATGCATATTCTTTTTTTATTAAGAAATTTTCGTTTGTTGTTTATTGCAAAATGTTATGAAATATTTTTTAGCATCCAAAGTTTTCAAACAATCAGGAACAATTGTAAATTTCCATCTTCGCTTCCTGTTATTTTGAGTTAATGGTTTTTTAGAATAATGTATTTGTATCAATGCAAGATCGGGTCCTCGAACCTTTTGATAGCAGAGGAGTCGTTAGCAGTTCAATTTTGTCTTCGATATTTCGATGGGTATTGTTGTTGTCAGTAACGCCTTATTTAGATTTATTTATACAGGGAAATCTAAAATAATTCATGAATGAGCCAATTTATTTTATTGTCAAGAGTGACTCACCCCATTTTACCAGAATTTTGGAAATACAGTATTATTATTATTATTAGACTGCGCCTATCCAAAGTGATATATGTGTCTTTACTAAAATATTGATAACGTAATCACAAAATTTTGTGTTGGAAAAACTCACTCGAAACATACGTTTAGCATGTTGCTGTAGCTTTACTGTAGCACTGCACACATGTCTATATTTTAATTTATAGGGATTATCATAAAAAATAAAATTAGGAGTCAAATTTTGTAATTTTTCGATAAAACCTGGGTTTGTTGTACTGTATTTTAGGGACGAGGTAAGTTCTGTCGAAATAAACTTAGACAATTTTTTTATGTCAGTCGTCCCATTCTCAAGATGTAAAAGTTTTTATGGAAACATTTTTTATGTGCTCACAGGACTATCACCAAATAAAATAATAGTGAACATAGAATTGTTTTTATAGCAAAAACTTGATATAGTAAAAAATGAACAGAAATTTAAATAGAAAATGAACAAAAATTTACCAAAAGCACAAACAAGAATTGAATTAAAATTAATCTTCAAAATAGCTTCCATATGCATCTACAGTGCAATTATTTTAATTTTGGCAAGATGTTGTAAAACTCTACCAATTACGAGATCTGGTATGTTTCGGTTTGTGTCTTTTTCTTCATCTGCAAGATTTTTAGATTTATTGATTTAATTTTTGAAAATTAAAGGCGCTGTAACTTTCAAACTGAGATATTCTATATTTTTGATTTTGACGTATTGTGTGTTGTTTCAAAAATTTTTTTGCAATAATTTTGGAACAACCTTTGATAGTCAGCTCTCTGTTAGTTTGTCCATCTTCTCGCTTAGAACTCTCTTAATGTCTCTGCACAGTTTAGCTTTTCTTTGCGTCTTTTAATTTTGGTTGCAATATTCAATATTTTATGCACAACGCTATTGGAAATGACAGTTCACAACTGGTTACCGTGGTTGAATGTTTTATTTAACGCTCGCGGGTTCTACAGGATTTCTATAAAGTCATAGTAGGTCATGTAAACGTGCCGCCTCTTCGATTTGAACTGTACTAAATGCCCAAGGACCTATGACAAAAACCACATGCATCTGTATAATTGGTTGCCTAAATGCTTCATATCTTTTTAAAAAATAAAACTAATTCATTACACTAAAAAGAAACAAATTTATTGCGGTTAAACGTCACAGTCAATGTTGAAAATGTTCACTATTTTGTTCAAGACCCATTGTTCAATTTCATGTTGCAAGAGAAACGCCTCACTGCAGAGGAGATTTTGTCAAAGATGTTTTCAGATTCTGCTCAATTCGTCTGAAATCTTCAACAACTTTCTCAGATACTCAACATTTTCTCCCAGATTTCTCTTTCTTCACACTGTCAGTTCGAACAAATCTCTTGATTACATATTTAATGTGCGCATCACGGTATTTGGACAGATATTCTTGCTTAAAAGCGGTTACAGAATACACAACTCTTCGTTTATAAATTCCCATTGCGATAACACGACAAAACAATGAAAATGTCTTGTTCAACAGAAAAACCATTTTCACAGTGTTCGCTTCCTAGCACCAAAACAAAATTTTCGTACGCAACCACCAAGAGTTTTGAAAACGACTGTTTTGTTGGTTTGAGCTTGGTTCAACGAGAATTACTGTAATTCACACTTGAAAAACGTTAAAACAATGAAAACGAGGAGTTTAAATGACAGGTTATAAATGTCATTAATGACAAATGAGAACTGTCGTAGTGAGGCATAATTTCAACAAAGCGGGATATTTGAAATCCATGGTCAACTACGCCCTTAGAATCATTTATAAAAGCCCTGTAAAAACTAGCTCCGGTGGCTGTAAAAACTGGACAAAGTATGGGTCGCAAAATAATGATGGAAAACGCCTGATTGAAAAAATAAGAAACAAGTCTTCTTGATCAACACAATGTATTATTAATAATAAAAATATAATTTCAAACGTTGTTGAATGTAATTCCCTCACTAGACTTATTAACGTAATTTCTCAATCATTTTCGGAATCCCCTTCGATGCATTCATTAAGTATTGATTTTCTTTTCTAGAAGTTTATTTGATAACGATGAAGCCACATGTAATATCAGCTCCACTGTCGCCTAGTAACGTAGCAAAGTTCCTGCAGAAGATGTGGCCAGTGTATTTATCTAGTCCAAATCAAATACGTAAAATAATCAATGCGACAAATTGAATTTTATGTCAATATTGTCAAAACTGGAATAATTATTTTTTGATAACTTGATAGCCAAAAATTTTATTTTATAGCCGCCAAGACATGATAATTTGATTTTTTTGTATTTTTGGCATTTAAAAATATCAAATCAAACACTTTTGCCTCCAAAGGAACAAAAATGTTTTCATTAATTCAATGAACTTGAGTTTGGCTCTGTGATATTTTACAATTAAGCGGAAATATATGTCACTGTTTAATATGTTGAGGAAATTCAGATCTGGTATAAGATGATTATGAAAGCTCGAGAATTAGGGTACTTTTGAAATATCTATCGTTTAATTTTTAATAAGAATTTGGCATTTCCTACAGTAAGCAAAGTAAGAATGTTGAATAAACATACAAAAAAATTGGAGGAATTTTATTATTTCGACACCACTTTCCTCGTCCCTGAAGTACAGTACAATACAATATACCTATAGAATATTTTTGAAAAATTATAAGATTTGATACTGCGATTTTAATTTTTTTTTACCCTTATAAATTAAACTAAATACATGCATGTAATGTCAAAGGAAAGGTAAATAAGCGCTAATCCAATTGCTTCAATTGAATTTTTCCATTAGAAAATTTTGTTATGGTATTATCAACATTGTCTCACACGACAATCCATTTGCCTCATATTTCTGACGCTGAGGTTTTAGACATGCAAAAAAAAAATAAAGACGAATTGGGTTTGTGGTCATGATAATATTTTTGGTATCTGATTGTGCGTCAGCTTTAGCTTACCCATTAATGTTATTATTCAATCTAATTCTGAAAACCTGTATATTTCCTGAAATTTGGAAATTATCCTTCATAACTCCTATTTTTAAGAAAGGTAAAAGAAGTGTGATAGAGAACTACCGTCCTATCTCGCTGATCTGTAACTTCGCTAAGGTTTTT